TGTTAGTCTGCTTTCATTTGGGTGGTTCTTAGCATAACCTGACTCAGTTGAGTTTTTTAAGGATCCTTCCTGCTAAACTTCTTTAGAGGACCTTATTTTCTTCAGAAGTGTTTGTTTATATACAGACTGTCCTGGTCTCTATTTTGTTCTACACGTAGTTTTTGCCTATTCTGTGAGAAAATGATGGTTGTTTCCTTTTCTTGCAAGTTCCTTTGCACAGAGCAATGGATGATGAGGGGAAAAACACTGTTTCTGCAGAAGTATCTGATATGTTGGAATCGGCTTCTTTTCTGAACACAGTAGGTAAATCCTCACCTGTGGAGTCAACAGTATTGCCTAATACAGAGGAACAGCAGGTGTGGATTGGTTTTGTAATACATCTTCTGATTATGCTTAATAAAAGCTTTAATTCTGGCAAATATTTCTTTGTTAAGAACCGCTGTATTCCCCTGCACCCAAGATGCGTTTGATTCTTCTACTTGGTGCTTACAAATAGTGTCAGTGCTAAATGCAGATGGTCAGTGCTAAGGTTTTGAAAATAAAGGGCTTCAGTAATTGCACTTTGAATGTAATGTGACTGTACCATTCTTTTTAGTAAGCTATAAAAGGATATAGATTTTTGTTGAAAGCTTGTTAGGTGCTTGGAAATAAAAAAGTCTATAATACTGTGCTGCAGTATACTTTTGGAGATAGTACAGGCATCTCTGATTTTTAGAATGGTAGGTTTCCTGATAGACTTCCCTCAGGTGACTTAATTTTGTGTGATCAGCGGAGTGCTGGTCATGGGAGGGCTGTGGAGAGCTCTGGTAAATCCATCTTCTGAATGCACAAGTTGCCAAAGAGGGGACTTTGAAGCTCTGTGAGAAAGGAAGGAGTGCTGGAATCCCTCTAAATATCTCCCTGCTATTATTGTTTCACCTGGATGGGGAGACCTTTGTATACTCGTGCAGGGTGAAAAAGCCCATCTTAGTAACTGAGAGCAGTTTCATGGTTCTCACTGTGAGGAAGATGATGGGCTAGTGCCTGGATGGGGGTAATGAAGTGGTCTTTTGGGGCTAAGAATGTGTCAATCTATTTACTGAACATGCTCCATGTGAAAAAAAAGTGCAGTACTACGGATCAGCTGTTAGAAAATACAGCTTGAAGTCAATACAGAGGGAGACCAGAAGGTGGAAGCAGTGCAGTTTGTTTCCAATAGTGTGCTGGTTTAAAATAAAAATCTTGGCTTTGTCAGAAAAAAAAACCACTAATAGTGGTTGGAGGAAGAGGACAAAAAAGGGTTACTTAAGGACATTAGAAGGTGAAGAAGCAACTTGCAGCTTAGGGTCTGAACTTCACAAGGAAGGAGAAAGTGAGGCAGTAAGACAGTATAGGAAATTCTGTATCAGAGTTGTATGCTGGTATGATTTGGGGGATGTTCTATTTAAAAAGTGGCCACTGTAACTATTTTTTTCTTTATGAATAGATATATCAACCTTTGAAAGTCTTCTTGAGAGTGAGACCCTTTTCTGTAGCAGAGCTTGAAAACCATGAATCTCAGGTTAGTTGTAGAATTAAGAAATAAGTTTTTATTCTCCTCAAAGAATGCCTAGTATTGTAAGCCAGGACTTTCTTTATAAAAATCATGTACTACTTCCAAATAGAATTAGTGGACACCTGGATAAATGTGTGTGTGTTTTAAATTATTTTTTTTAGAATCAGAACTCTTACTGATTTCCCTACTACAGACATGCACTCCTGTAGCTCTTTGAAACTACACTGGATATCTTGTTTAAAAGGTGATGTCGCTGTTGACCGTGCAGTGCTCAAGAAACAAAGAATTTTCATGTGAGAAATTGTGCACTTCTAGAAGTAATTCAGACATCTGTCACTTGAGTTTCTTCGGAATTCCTTGCCTTTACATCCTTTTTTCCTCTCAACCATGCATTATTTTCGGGAAAACACCTTTGTTCCAAATATGTAACAAGAAAAAGAAAATAGATTCCAAGTCCTGTTTCTTATAGCTGTATAAACTGATGCTTTAAACAGAGGCAGTCAACAGGTTAACTAAATCTGTTGCTGCTCATACAGATAATGATTTATGCATGTAAAGCTTAAGAGCTCTGGATGAAATTCTGTATTCTTGAGACAAATGCCAGTGATTCTCTGGAGTCACCCATGGGAGAGCAGGAAGTTGTTTTTCCGATATGAATGATGTGCCAGAAAATTGTCCGAGTCCTGCCAGCTCACCTAGGGAAGACGATGAGAGTGACATGTTACCAGCTGGATTCTAGGTCTGCAGATCTGATTACTTCAAGGCCTCTACTCATGAGCTTCCATGTGGCTGGTGGCAGCTGTCGGCTCATGTTGCAGATGCTGGGTTCTTCTGTAGCTCTCTAGGATTTAGTACATCTGACCAGCATTCCTGTTCCTGGCAACTTGGGAAGATTGTTAAAAGAGCATAGAGGTTTAGAGCCTGGCACAGTGAGCAAGTGATTGGTCTAAGTTCAGTACCCAGGTCCTTAGAGCTTCTACACCAGTTGATAAACAGACTTGTTACTGCTCTTTCTACAAGTCTCAGTTACTTCCTATGTGCGTGCTACACGTGGATTGTTGGTCTTACCAGCTCTGGCCATTCTCTGAACATAAATGTCAGATTTAGTTACAATCAATCCCTGTGGCTGTTGCTTCAAGATACAGTTAAGCTATGCTGGTGGTTCAGTTTGGAGTTTTGATAACCTGTCTGATGTAAATCAAATTTTCCTGTGATACTGCATTCTACAACTACCTAATTAGTGAATGGTAGGTAATTGTATCTCACCTTTACTTAATTGAGAAATAGCAATCAAATGACTTGAAACTAATTCAGTTTTTTTCATTACTTGTAACACCATCCATCTACCAAAGGATAATGCTTCAGACTTATTTTACTCTATTTATACTGGTCATAGCTTGTTCCACACTGAAAATGACTGAAGTGGAAAACCTGCAGATTTCTATATAGCTTGGCTTTCATAGCCAGGATTATGCAAGCCACAGTCACAAAATATCACCAGGCTTTAGAAAGTGTTAAAAAAAAATACTTGCTGGAAGAAATCCTAGAAAAAAATTAAACCTTTTAGAAAACCCCAGACAGCTGCCTTAATTTTGTCTACACTCTGGCTTTCATATGATGTGGGTATCTCTGTTGTTGTTACATGGCAAAAGAGAGAGTATATGTAAGTTTTGCAACTCTTCGTAAACGAAAACAGTTGTTTGTGGGTTTTGGGTTTTTTCTTCTTTTTGGCTTGTGGGTTTGGGTTTGTTTTTTGATAGCTTTCTTTCTAAATAATTTTGTGTGGTGTTTTGGTTTATCTTGTGGTTTTTTTTTAAGGGTTGTGTAACTATTGAAGATTCCCAGACAGTAATTTTTAATGCTCCCAAAGAGTCTTCTGCAATGAAAAACAGTGAAAGAGGGATTGGTCATTCTGTGCACAGGTTCACTTTTTCTCAGGTAGGCAAAATTTTTTTCTAATTTTTAAGTTATAGTTTCTTTTTTTCCACTGTAATGATAAATGCAATGTGACTTTTTCTTTGAATTACATGTGGCACTTGCCTTAAAAAAACCAGACTGCTTATTATTTACTGTAAGACTGCTAAGAAAGCTGTATTACAATGGAAGTGCTTATTAGATGAGACAAAGAAGCTGTTTCTGCAGCTTTGTTCCTTTGATAAGATGCTACAGAAGCTTTTGTAGGCACAGACTTGGTGTAGTTCTGCTGTTCCTGCAGATGCCCTTATCTGGGAAGTGTTACGGGGACACGTGTTTACATGAGACTTGTGTCAGCATGTGTTTTGGGACTTACTTTTGAAAGAATAGCAGCCTAACTGCTTAAATCTGTACTAGAAGTAAGTTTCTTAACTTTGTTACCTACTGTGAGAACTCCTGTTCTTACAGTATCAAAACATAAAGAGCTCCAGGTTTTGAGTTATTTAGACTATTGTAATGCTGATCTTCTCATCAGCTGTGGCTGACGTACAGTGTGAGGAGGGAGCTGTGCATCACCAGCAGAGCTCTTCAAAGTATCCACTGAATGAATGTGCTCAGTAGTATTCTGAGCAGCTTATTTTAGGAGTAGGAAAATATTCAAAAATAAGTGCAAGCCTGAGTGCCTCTCAGAATTAAGCAGGTATTCTATAAGAGCCAAAAGGAAAATGTTGAGTTAGAAGGGGTTCAGGCAAGGCAGAAACCTAAGCTGGTATCTCCTTCTCAGCTTGCTCTGCAAAACTAGTCACTCGTAGTGCTTAATCAGTGCTTAATATTTTGAATTATTAAACTTATGTGCTATTTATTACCCTTTCCCCCCCCCCTCCATTCTCCAAGGTCTTTGGACCAGAAACTACTCAGAGTGAATTTTTTGAAGGCTCAATGAAGGAAATAGTAAGAGCGTATGTTAATGGAGTGAATGGACTGGTGTTTACTTACGGGGTTACAAATGCAGGCAAGACATTCACCATCCAAGGTATAAAATGTTTGCCAAAAAGCATATATCACAACCAAGTCAAAAGCCAATGCAAAATTTATATGAATGTCTATATTTTACCTTTTGTTTTTAAGGAACATCTAAAGATTTTGGTATTTTACCTCGCTCACTTGATGTGATTTTTAACCATATAAGGGGAAGACATTACCTGAAGATGAACTTCAAACCATATTTGAGCAATGACGTTAAAAAACTAGAGGATGCACAAGTTAAGCAAGAAGAAGCCATAAAAACTGCTATTCTTGCATCACTGAAAGAGGTCAGTGACCAAATACTTCATTGTTACTGAATGAAACTTCTTAAAAACTTCTTAACAGGCTACCTTTAATAAAAATCTGTTTCACTATTGATTCTTTAGATGTATCTAAATCTACAATATAAATACTTGGTTAACCTTGGAATAATAAGGCAGCTGGCTGGTTTTGAAACTCAGGGTAAACTGGAAGAACTTTCTGCAGCAGGCAGCACACAGTTCAAATCAAAAACCATTGCAAAGCCAAAGCCTGTATTTCTGTATAGTAGCAGTTCTGACACTGTGGTGACACTAGCCCTTGAAGAGTCTCTAAAATGTGCTACTTCTTGTTAAGTGAATCTTCTTTTGGGCCAGGTTTCCAGGCTAGATCTCTGGGCAGTTGCTCAAATTCCAGTACTGGCTCAGGCAGGATGATGGCGAGGTCTTAGCAGAGGCAGTAAAGAAGGCAGAAACGTTCCATCAAAGGTGGAAGACAGTCTTCAGGCAGATTAAGAAGTTTGCAAACATGTTATTTATCTAACTTCATAAAGAAACTTTTCTGATAGAGCAAGTCAAGTGAAATGCCACAGAATGAATTTTCTAAGAGGATTACAGTCTGCTTGAGAGGATTGTATGTATCCTTAACTCTGGTCTCTGAAGATTGTAGGTAGAATAGAGGAGTCTTTACTGTGGTAGCCTGCTGTTCTCATTATCCAGTCATTTCTGTTTGCAGCCTAAGAAATGGGTCTTAGCAGAAAATGGGCACCCTTGCGTGTGTGACTGTTCTATACCTATAAGCCTAGTTGCAAATTGTCACAAGATTGTTTGGCTTTTTGCCTTATGTTCAGGACATTTTTAACCTGAATTGTGATTCCATGCATTTAATCCCAAAATGCAGTAGACTCAGCTCTGAATGAATTCTGGGAAGTATAAAAGTAATAATTGATTGGGTTTTCATTTTGTTGTAGTCTTGAATACCAATGTTGTAAAAATACTCCAGTTAGCTCTGAAAGAATATCCTTCTATGAATCAAATTCATATGTAAAGTTCCACTCTAAATTCTATCATTAAATTTAAACTCTGCAAACTGAACTTTGTTTAGTCTGAGTCTGGTTAACTTTCAGGAAGGATCTCAGATGAAAAATCTAAAAGATGCTAAAGATTGCATATTTATTTTGTGAGGCTCTTAAAAAGCTCACTGACACTGCATGTGTGCATGTGCAGGGGGTGGAGATCTTAAAGAAAAATTGGGATCATCAGGATGATAGGTAAATATTTTTAAAATCTTTGTGGAACCCACAAGCTTGCAAGAAGGAACAAACGGGAGTTCAATGTCTAGAACAGTAGGTCAAATATCTTATTTTTAAGAACTCTCTACAAATATTCCTTTCTGTTAAATCACAGTCTGATTTTATTAATAGTTTAGTTACTGAATGTTGCAGTAGGTGATCTAGATGCTGATGCATGACAGTGAAAATCTAGCAAGACTCCATCATCAGGAAGGAAAGGTAAAAATGCATCTAGAAAACAATACATGACAGGACCTTGCTTATGTATTACAGTGCTTCCATGGTGATAGCTCAGCTATCCCCCGTACTGAAGCTGTGCTTCCTGATAGCTTGTGAATAGCATCACTGTTCAGATGCTCACTCAAGCTTGTAATCTGAGAGCAGATATGGTTTGCTAGGCTTGGTTTTGGTTTACGTGGATTTCTGTAGGCCCTTTTCCCAGGCTCAGTTTACATGTCATGCAGAAAGAGCCTGCTGTGCCTTTCATTGCGTTTGTTCCCTATACAGTACTGCTGCAAAAACTCTTGCTTGGCATGGTTTACATCCTCTCTTTCCTTCCCTTTACTTGTTCTATTCACTAGATTAAACACTAGTTTTTACTGGATTAAAAACTGCTTTACTTGCAGTCATATTCCCACCTGTCCTCATATTTGCTATTAAATGTCAACTTCTGTTGCTGGCAAACAGTGTCAGTTCCTGTTTCCACTTGTTTCCAGGCAGTCATCTTCATGTTCTTTTCTGTATTTGGTCTTATGATTTAAAGAACAGTGTAGCAACATAGGTAGTTCAGTTTTGTTGAAGTTTCTTTACAAAAACTTATCACGTGCACAAGTATTGTGGTACTGGTTTTTTTACATCGCATTACATTTTTGACATGCACAGATGTTTCATGCATGTCAGTCCCATACTCTGCTTTGGAATTCTGCTTTGTACTTTGCAAGCAGAATGAACAGGATCCATGCTTGTGGTTATACTTGTAACTACTTAAGCAATGCAAACATATAGACAGTGCAGTCTTTGCAAAATGGTCATTTATAAAATAAAAGGCAATGAAATCATATGGTACTTATTTTTAAAATGGAAAAACTGAATGTATGGCTTCATACTTCTCTGTAAAAATTCCATTTTGAATATACCAAGTGCATATGCTGATGCATATGCATCAGCAGACAATCATCATCAGCATGATGAACTTAGCACTGCATTCTAGTAGCTGGAACATTAAGGTTTACTTCTTTGAATCTGTTCCCCTCTTCTACTGTAGGACGACCCTCTATCAGGATTGGGTTTTGGGAAATCAGAGTAAATGTCCTAATGAAGATTTATATCAGTGTATAAAATATGGAGAGGGGAGGTAGTACGTGGAAATGTTGGAATCTCTAAATAGTGGGAGTTGCTACTTTGTTACATCAGTTTTCCTGGGGTAATTTGAAGCCTATGTTTTGACAAGTCTTGTCAGGTTTTTAAATAATTTTGTAGACGTAAAGAAATTCAGCAAATGTGTACTTAAAGAAACTGTGCTGTTATCTGTACAGGATTTTTAATGGCCTTTTAATTTACTCAGGATTAAACCAACATAGACTGTTGGTTTATCAGATCTTTAAGTCCCTTGTGAAGCTATCGTTTCACTCTGAGGTCTGAAAGTAAGTTTGAACAAGCAAGTAAATTAGGAGTCTCTGCTGCTTTAGTTTCAGTGTTGCTCACCACCCTGCCATCAGCTCCTGAAAGAAACTTATTTCTGCAGTTCTTTTGGTTGACTGAAGTACTGTTCAGATTTGTCCAGTAGTTCATACAGGCATTCTGGGCTGTCGCAGGCTGACAGAGGATCTTGTTTCTCCCAGTACTGTAAAGTTAATCTCCTATGTTAACAGCAATTTGCCTCCAAAATAGCTTGCTGAGAATAGCAGAGCACAATAATTCT